GCCGGACTGCTGGCTCCAGCTGCGGGACAGGGCGGGCCGCAAGGGCTCGAGGTGAGTGTTTTTGCTACGAGCGGCACTAGGATGGTTTCCGTGCACTTTGAATTAAACCGGCGAAGCTCCCGTCCGCCTCTGCCGGGCAAAACCACCTCCACGAGTGTGCTTTGCCACGGCGCAGGGTCAGTCTCTTCTGTCCCGGTTCTTGTGTCCTGTAGCGAGCCGAGGAACCACCCGCAACTCACTTCTTCTCCTCTTCTCGCTGGCAGGCCGTCCAGGGCACCGGGCTGGCGTTCATCGTCTATTCCGAAGCCATCAAAAACATGGAGGTGCCCCAGCTGTTCTTAAAAAGCCCGAAAAGTTTCAGCGTCCCGTGGCCGCCGAGGGTCCCTCTTTGGCCTCAGCTGGAGCAGGGAATATCAGACGTGCTGCCGGAAGGGTCTGCCTGCCCTTGGGAAATCCTGCCCAGCCTGCACAGTACCTTCTCTCAAGGAGCTCTCAAAGCACCAGGGCAATCGTGGCTGTGTAGTCGCAGGCTTCCCCATGCACCCCAGCTCCTTCAGACCGGTGTCTACTCACTGGTGAAACTCACGGGGCTCTTCAATCACACATATTCATATACATTATATATATTTTGTACATTGTATATATTATATATCATATATATCCAGCTGATATCCCAACTGTGAACCACCTCAGTCTTTGGCCAAGTGATACGTGCTGCTGTTTGGGCACAGTTGTCTCACCTTAAAGCCCATTTTAGACGGATGCCCAGCAGCAACAGCAGATGCTGCAGGTGTGCACGATAGGGCTGTAGCCAAGGCTGTCTTGACCCTGCTGGGATGACGTGCTGTGACTGTGCAGCTCTAAGGCGCAGCAGTCTAAGGATATGCCAGCATAGTCATGCACATGCAAGAGACAGGTCTTTTCCACAGGGGGGGAAAAAATTAACTTTCTCCTCTGAGAAAGCTGCTCCCTGACAGAAATCGGTAGAAATCCCACCAGCTTTTCAGTCGCAATTCGCATGAGGTTTTCCCTCCATGGTCAGATTTCCGGTTGTA